GTTGTGTCACACTTAGACTTAGTCCATAGTTACCAAACACCTCCCGGCACCGCAAGGTCTCGCCTCCGGCAAAACCGGTGAATCCGGTCGCAGCGCTGATGGGGGAAGCGGCGGCATGAGAGGCCCCATGGACCTGCAGGCAAAGAAGCGACGCCATTCTTTATGGAAATGCAGCATACAGCAATTCAAAAGGCGATCAAAAACTGAGGGCATGGACTTCCTCGTGCGAGCAGCAGCTGGTGGCACCTTGCTCCGGCTGGCAGTGGCCAGTCATTTCGATGCACTTGCAACCAATGGCCTTCTGCGGCACCGCAACTGGGCCGGGTCCAGCAGCTGGTGGCCTTCGGAGCAAATCAAAGATCATCACCGAGCGAGCGAGAGTTGCGCAGCGCCGCTCTCGTTGCGCCTTCCAGGCCCAGGGACAGGACCCGCAGGACCCATGCTGTGCATGGAGAATTGGTACTGGTAGCCCTCGTAGACCGGGCCCGGGCCCGGAACGAAGCCCGGGGGCGGGTACCCCGCCGCCTGTGCTGCAGGGCCGCCGCCTTTCTGCGAAAAGCCCCCCTTGCCGGGGCCGGGCCAAGGCCCGGCTCCGCCGGGCCCAGGAAAGCCTTTGTTGCCTGAGCCAGCCGAGCGCGTGAGGTCACAAGTCCCGTCTTCCCATCTCCCCACCTGGGACGGGGTCTGGGAACTGCGGGTACTGGCCGTGGCCCTTCGGCATGGCCTGGTCCAGTGTAGAACTTAGCCGATTTAGCACTACCGGTAGTTCCTTCAAAGTCCATACATTTCCACCCGCCTGCGGCGGAGCGCTGCTCGGGCTCGGGGTGCTCGGAGGAGCTTCAGTCTTCTTCGAAGAACCTGCCCATCCCGATCCCTCACATCCCATCACAACTCCACGCTGCCGTGTTCTCGGCCCTGCCTAGGAAAAGCTTTTTCACGAACGCCATTGCCACGAGGAGTACCACGAGGAGAGGTGCGTTACGATCAAGTGGGCTTTTGGGATCTGGTGTCTTGTTGCATGCGTGGGTTTCAGAGCTGCAGCAAAAGCATCCTGCTTGTGTTTCAAGTGGAAGCGCAGGCTTCACGGCGCGGTCACTTTCAGCCAAACGGCTCCCTCGCTGCAGCCGACTTTCGCTCCCCTCTGACATCGAGGCTCAAAGCTTGGAGCAGGCCTGGCCTGCGTCTGCCGAAGCCTCGCCAGAACATGAAGCAGCGTGGGAGCTCAGCGGTGTGACTTTCGGCTATCCGAAGCAATCGTTTCAGGAGACGGCTGCTGTTTCAGCTGCCTTCTCCTTTGATCCGGGCAAGGCACTTCCCCAGATTGCAAGGAAATACAATCTCACATAACCGCTCAGCCATGCAGCTCTTGCTCAAGCTGCTCGCGAGCTTGCCGCAGCTCCTGCACATGGAATCCGAGTCGCGACCTCGCAACCACCCAGCCTGTGCACAGCGCGTCGCGTCTCTGCCTCCTGCTCCCTCCGAATCTGGTCCTGCTTCGTGGCGAGCTCGGCCTGCCAGCATTCCGGCATTCCGCCTCTGCCGGCGCTCTGCCTTCACCCGATCCGACAAAAACACACAGCCCGGAACCCGAAAAACCAACCCAAAAAAGTACTGCAAGAGTGACAATCCGCCGCTGTTGTCTTGCCGCATCAGGAAACCGTCGAGTTGCGGCGCACTCAATATCCCGCTCCGCCACTTCAGTCCACATTCCTCTGTGGGGTCCGATATCGCGCTCAACCCCTTGTCCACGCCTCCTCGGACTCAGTTCTCAGGCGTTGCCCACACAGCCGATATCGCGCTCGACCCCTCCCACACATATCGCGTTCCAATGCCTTCTCCCGCACACCCACACCGCCCACGAATCCGATATCGCGGTGCATCCTTTGTCCACGCCCCATCCACGCACCGGCCGTGCAGCCGATGTCGCACACGCAGTGGCCGCACACACGATATCGCGTTCACCTCTTCTTCACGCCGTGCCCCGACACAACCATCCTTCGAACCATCCTTCGCATGAACCCCGCCATCTGACCAGTCCCGTTTTTCCAACATCCACGTCCAAGCCCGCCCACCGTCTAGACACCCTGCCGCATCTTCCGCACCGGCGCACCGCCCTACACAACCATGCACCGTCTAGTCTTCTAAAGCTTTACAGTCAAGACATTCGATATTGCGCACCTCGCGCTGGTTGGAGCAAAATGAACGAGAACCCAGCCCAGAGGAGCTTTTCGGAAAAAGCGCCTCTGCCTTGTGTCGCTCGCTGGCGGCTGCCTTCCGCACACACGAAAAGCAAGCCGATAGAGGTAAAGCAGCTAAAGTGCAATGCAGCCCGCTGTCGAATCAGTCGAGCCACTATTCTGTCTTCCATCAGGGCACGGCGGTCTGCCTCGCAACATCTTGGGCAACGTTCGGAGTTATGAGGAATGTGGACTGCAGTATTGCAGAAGTGAATCGCCTACTTGTAAAAATCTGCACACACCAAAGTAGGCACTCACCCTGTCCTTGTTCCTTGTCAGCTACAGAAGCATAATATTCACAAAGCGTCCTTCACTGTCTCGGCAGCCAGGAAGACGACACTCTCAAGCCTCTCGAAAGCCTCGTGCGCATCGCAAAATGCAGCTGCAGAACACATCGATGTTCATAGCCAAGTGCGCTCCAGCTGCAAAGAAACCCTGACTCGAACAGAACGTGAATAGTGGTATCAACCTGGCCTCCATCGCCTGCTCCACATGGTCTCTCAGTGCATACAAATGAACTTTCGCGGCTTTTCTGGCCTGGCAGGATCAGCCGGCATGGCTTTAAACTCGCGCAAGATTAACTCATGTACACCCCACCTTGCCCAAAGTGTCATCGTCCATACCATCGGCTATCTGCATCAAGGCCACATACGACAGGACGAGCAGCACACAACGCGCAGTTTCCAAAGCCGGTCCTCCTGGTGCCGCCCGTTTCCTGTATCGCGTTGATTTCAAGAATATCAGATGACATCAGCTTGAAAAGCTGCAGGCTGCCTTTGTGCAGGTCTCCATTTGTCCCGGCTAACATCATGCCGCCGGGTCCCGGCATGTCGACCTGAAGCCAGGCTGAGGCAGAATCAAACGGCACATCCGGAGAGAACCGCCCATGGTCCTTGTCTGCCCTATCCGGAGAATGCAAAGTCTTCATCAGCCACCTTGCGACAGTGGCACGAATTGGTCTCGGCAGCAGGTACAGCAAAGAAGTCAGCTAACACAGTTATTCCAGCACTCACACTTCAGTTTCTGCACCCAGCCTTGAAAAAGACCTCCGCCAACACCCGCACCCCAGCTGCACGCTTGTTGAAATGCAGGAGCCGATATGAATTTTGTCACTATGTCTAACGCGCTGACATGGAAAGATTGCCTGTTTACCTAGCCAACTGGTAGTCGTAAAAAAACCGGATAAGCAAATTCACTGGATCCTCTCTTTTGACTCGATGGCCGCATTGTGGTCTTGGTTCAAGCTTTCCAGCGATTCTTTGCCGGTACGGAGGACATACAATCCGTGGCAATCCTCGGCGAAGGCACACGCACGCCTGTACGACTCCTTTGTGTGACCAGGATAATTGTTGTTGGGCTCCCGGCCCTCCACCACTCTCCGCCAGCGTGCGGACGGCGAGGCCTTGCCCAATCGAGTTGAGCCCATGCAGAGTACATATACTAGGCCCAGACTAGAGACCAGAAGTCTCAAGGAGGGTGTCTCAGGACCTCTTCAGTATCCTGCAGCTTGCAACGTCGCCTCATGCGAGGCTTGTTGCACCACAGAACTCTCTGCCAATCTCGCGATGGCTGCATTTCTCGTCGCAGGACAGGCCCGGATGACCCAAGTTTGCCCACCGACTCGCTCAAGGCTTGTCCCGACAACTTTGGTCTCCGGGCTTCTGGCTTGGGGCAGAGACACTCTGCACATGCTGGACGGGTGCTTTTGCTGCCACGGCATCAAGAATCGGTGCAGCCCTCGTCCGAGAGCTCTTGAGCTTCCTACCGTCCCTCTGGCTACTCTGGGCACCGGGCTACGCTGGAAGTCAACTCACCGTGTTGGGAGGCCTCCAATCTTCTCGGAGAACGGTCTCCGGTCAAGTCCTGATGCAGATGTAGCGGATATGTTCTATGACTCTATGACATCTCAAATTACTCACCGTGACAGGAAATCAGCACTCTGTAGTGTGACATCATTACGGGGCATGGGGCTCTGGGGCGAACGGATGTCATCGTGGTTCGGGGCGAAGGGATGCACTGGTACCGCCGAACTGCGAAGGCCTGAGAGGCTGTCCTTCTGCAGCAGCCAACGGTTGCGTCCAGGGCCACTGGCCTCAGATGTCGGCACTCAGCTCTATGGCAAGCCTATCTTAGTCTGTCGCGCCAGACTACCTGTGGTGGAAGGATGCAGACGCCCCGAACCCTCTCCCAAAGTCCACTCCAAGATGATTCTGCCCGGCCTCACTCAAGTGGTCACGCGTGGCGAGGTCACCGCGCTGGCACCTCAAACGAAGACAGAGAGAAACGAGCAAAAGCAGAAACTCGACTCAGCACAGCTTCCAGGCTACACATACTGTAAGTATTCGCATTGTGCGACGTTTATCCAGAATCAGGCACATGCCCCACAGCCCCATCCACAAAACCCGCGGTGCTCTGTCTGATCGGAACAAGTCCACTGAAGGCTTCAGGGCCTCTCTTCTGCACAGGCTGATCGCTGTTGGGCTCCCGGCCCTCAACCTCTCTGCGCCAGCATGGAGCCAGCTAGGCCTTGCCTCATCGGTCGACTTGCAGAGCACATGTACTGGGCCCAGGCTAGAAGCCTCAAGGTGGGTGTTCCCGGAGCTCTGCGGCATCCTACAGCCCGTGCAAAGTCAGCGACTTTCGCGAACGCGACGAGCAGTCAGCTTGCGGGTCTGGAAAGGCAGGCTTTGCAAGCAAGGGTGCAAGCCCATCGCCTGAAAAAGCCGTATGAGCTAACAGCAACTGGTGCCTGCCATAGCGGCCTCAAGTCAAAGACACGTCCAGGCCTTTGCCGGCCGGCTCGCTAGCCTGCTTTCCGCCTGCCACCTTCACGATGTGAAAGCGTTCCTGTCCCCAATTATCCGGAAGGTCCTGGATCGACTTGTGAGAGCTGGTATCTGCATAAGTGCCCGTCATGCGCATGAAGCAGTTGTGCATCGAGTTGTGCAAGGCAATCTTCCCATCGAAATTATCACTTCCAGGCACGACCGTGAACCTTTCGTACCCCTTCAAGTGAGGAGCTGTTCCCAGTTGGCGCCCGTTGCAGCCACTCATCATTACATACCGCTTGTGGTGTTCGTTGTAAAGGCCGATCTGGCCGTTCCCGGCATCAACAACCTTGAAACGCTGCCAACTCCACCAGTCGGGCAAGTCCCCCACGCCTTTCTCTGGGCTGCGGTCCATCATGTGATGAGAATTCATCGACAGGAACCGGTTGTGGACTGCATTGTGCAGGGCCACGACCGTCCCCGGCTCCAGGAATGGCTTGACATGCACGACACGGAAGCGCTCCCATGGCCAGCTGCGTGTGTCCAAGCCAGCAGGCGGATGGCCACTCTCGCCCATATGGCCACCACCCATTTGGACCATTCGGTTGACGCCACGATTCCACAGCATCATCTCTCCGTCAACGGCCGGCCACACTTCGAAGACCTCCAGGCCCCAGCCTCCGGGAAGTTGATCCGGATTCTTGTGGGGGCTCGCTCCATTAACCTTGATGAAGCGATTATGTCTGGCGTTGTGCAGCGCGATCTGTCGACCGTCCTTCCGGATGACGGTGAAGCGCTCGTGGGTCCAATCATCGGGCAGGTCACCGCCTTCTCTGAAACCGCCGGGTTCCAGGTGGTCCTTTCTCATCGCAACGAATTTCCGGTGGTGGGTGTTGTAGAGAGCCACTGTTGATCCAGGGACCAGCTTCACCTCAGCGGCCACGACGGTGAAGCGCTCCCACGTCCAGTCTGCGGGCAGATGATCCCGAGGATCGGTGAGGCCGGCCCCACCCCCACCGTCGACCTTGAGGAAGCGCTTCGACGTACCCTGCAATGCAATCTGTCCATTTCCGGCATCTACCACCGTCCATTTCTCTGCGCCCCAATTGTGAGGAAGCTCGTTCGCATTCTTGGTAGGACTGACTCCACCTGCGTGGCAAGCCCATCGAAATTCAGTCTCACTACTGAGGTGCAAAGGGCAAAGCGGGTAGGGCTAAGGCTTCAACACGAACCTTTCGTCCTGCCCGCTTTACGCCTCGAAGTGCCCCGCCGGGCGTTTTATGTATTCAATAGGAGCCCAACGCAAGCCCAACCCCTGAAGCCCCACACGCCTCCCAACACCCACCGGCCCCGCCTATCATGCCCCTGCCCGGCTCAGCGACAGCCTGTAGCAACCACCGGCTCCGCTCTTCATTGATTCATGCTCCCCAGCTCCCACCCTCCGACCCTGCTTCATTGCGCGTCTTTCCTGTCGTGCACAGCAGGGCTGAGCGCCTGGACGACTGGGTCTCAATAAGAGGCTATATCGGTCATTTGCGCCTTTGTGCTTGGGCAAAGAGCGAAAGTGCTGTGAATATCGAGGGTTTCGTGTGTTTCCAGCATGCCTGGCATCGACGGGTTTTGTCGTTCAAAACGCTGCCTTTTAAAGCCTTGGGCGTGGACTTGGGCGCCCGGCTCGGAAGATTATGTTAAAGAACCCTCGCTAGGATTTCGCGCTTGTGTTTTGAAGGACAAGCGGTCCCGCTCTGATGATCATGATGCACTCACTTTTGGGGGGGCCTTGATGGGACTCAAAGTTTCTGGGAAATAAACCGAAAATCAATCCATAGGCGCCGCCCAGGCACTGCCGTGTGACTTGAGGAACTTGTTGTGGAGCGCATTGTGCAACGCGATCTGGCCGTTCCCTGCATCGACCACGGTAAAGCGCTGGTGAGTCCACCAATCCTTGATCCCATCGGGACGCTCCTCCGGGCTGCCGTAAAGGTGATCTGATTGCATGGAGAGGTAGCGGTTGTTGTGCGTGCAGTGCAGGGCAATGACGGAACCTGGCCTCAGCGGAAGTCCCTTGACTCGCCCAGCGTCCTCTGTCGAGAAGTCTCTCAAGGCAGCGATCGCCGTCTTCTTGGTTTCCACCGAGATCCAGGGGACCGCCGCAAGGATAACAGCAAACTGCACCCCGATGTCTGCCAATTGGATTCGCCGGCTTGGGCTCTGGTAAGGCCCGAATCCCATCTGGAGGCCCAGCTCAAGGCTGTTGCCATTGAGAAGGCCTTGGACTTCGAAGTTCGTCATTCCTGGCTTTTTGAAGTTAAAGAGCTTAATGATGTCCTCCTTGCCCTGCGCCTGAGCCTCCTGCATTGCGCTCAGGTGCCGCGCTGCATCTGCCCCGCGCATCTCCCAGGTCGTGTTAGCCTCCATGGAATCATCATAGTCGACGGAGGCCAAGTAGAGGTCCTCCGTCTCGGTCTTCCAATACCACGACTCTGTCTCGAGCTTCTCGCCCTCTCCGCCTTCAACTTGGCTGCTTCGATTGCCCTCCAAGAGCGACATCGGTGCGAATCCAGGCCTGCTCTCGCCTTTGGCGATGCCCAGCGGGTGTCTCCAGGTTTGGTAGCCACTCCCGAGGTTCTTCTTCACGAAGTGCGTGTCGGAGCCGAAGCGCTTTGCAAGCCGCAGCGTCCGGCTGAAGAGCAGGTGATCGCCGGTTTTCAGCTCCGAACGCAGGACGGACAAGTCCAGGCCACCCGGCATCTGGTTGGGCCAACACACGGTGGTGATCAAGTCGAAGAGGGTCGGCAAAAACTTGATGGACAAGCCGGCGACGAAGGCGACGACAGGCTGGATGTCTATTTTGAACGTGACTGACAGGCACTTCTCGACGGCGGCCGAGCCCGTGTAGAAGGAATAGCCCTGCCACTTGTTCCAGTTGTCCTGACATGTTCACGACTTCCCTTACAGACAAATGCAAATGCTCACTCATGGCTTCAATCACTAGCTCGCTGACTCACTGACTCACTGACTCACTCACTCGCTCACGCAAGCACGCACTCACTCATTGACTCCACTCGCCCACCCAAAGACCACTGATCCACTCATGCACCCACTCAATCCCGCAAGCCATCGCCGCGTCAAGCCGCCAATTAAACTTCCTGTGTGATGAATGCAGTTGTTGCTGCACTCCCCGAAATTTTGTCTGTTCGCTTCCATGTCTGCCCACGGTCCATACTCGCGTATCTCGGCAACAAGAGAAGTGCTACCTGGAAGCTGCGTTTGCTTGTGGCCAACATGCAGCTGTGATCAAACTCCCGCACTCCTTCATCCAAGTGTTGTCGCAGGGCACCGCCCAAGGCTCCAGCTGGACGAAGTCATCCTTCGTTGCCGACGTCCAGTCGTCTTTCGTCGCCTCCTGGTGGTTACCAGCCTGAGCTCCGTTCTTGTTCCGGGGAGCGAAAGCCAGACAGGAGCCCGAATCGGCCTCCCTGCCATTGAACTGCGTGATCAGGTTCGTGACCTGGACGTCATCACCTTTCACCAACTTGACACCTGGGCCGTCCGAGCCCAGCGCGTCCTGCTGCTGCTGCCCCAGTGCCGAAGAGAACTCCAAGAGTGAGGGATGCAGCTCTTGCGAGTGCAGCTCAACGATCAGGTCGCCCTGCTGGTGGCGAACGGGCATCTTTCCGACCGCAGGGAAGTCCGAGAGGCTCGCCTTCTGGACCAATGAAGTGCCGCCCTTCAACGCCTTCTTCGCCAGGGCCGTGGCAGCCTTCGCAAAGGCCTCGATGGTCTCCTCCATCACTTCACCCAGGCGGTTCAAGTAGCTCAAAGGCGGCACCAGGTTGACGATCTTGAAGCCAAGGCATTTCGTCAGTTCCGTGGATGACTCAAAGTGCTGGCAATTCATCAGGTCCTTCCCCATGGCCATCAAGCTCTTGATGGAGTTGAGGGGCGAGCCTGCAAGAACACCGACGGGACTGGGCAGCCAGTTCAGCGGCGGTTCAAACTGCATGACGTAGGACGCAAGGCGCTTGGCGATGCAGTGGAAGGTGTCACCTCTGTTGCAGTGGCCGGTGTTCAGGACATCATGGACAAACCCGAACAACCTGTCGACGGCCTCCTGGCTTGATCCAATCACTTTCCCTATCTGGCCGGAATATGCAACACTCCTGATCTGGTGGGGCAAGTGATCCAGTACGCTGAAATGATGGAACGGATTCGGCAGTTTGAAATTTTGGTTTGCCCAGTTGGTGTGGAAGAGCTGGACGGTCCTGCCAACAAGCGTCACCGAGCAACGCAGGTTGCCAAAATTGATGTTGAGGTAATAGCCGTTCACTGAGGCACTTGGAGTATGGGCGTTGCAGTTGGAGCTGAACGAGAAGCCCGTGAACTTCGAGAGAATCGTCCAGGCCTTGTCGACGGTGTCGATCACGGTGTTCTGGATGAATTCTAGATGGTTGCCCTGCTCTTTCACCTTGTCGAAGGCATCTCCCAGGGCATCAAGGCCCAGGCCGTCGCCGTCGAGCTTGTCGACCGCTTTGTTGACCGTTCTCTCGAATTCTTTCAGAGGATTCCACTTGCTGGAAAGGCTCTCATCCAAGGAATGCTCCGAATCCGCTTCCTTCTCAGAGCTCCGCGCCTGGAGGCAGGTCACGGGGCTTGCAGTGTGCATCCTACGGCTTGGCACGTGCCGCCATTTAACCTGTCACAACCGTAGCATCCCGGATTCGGGTGAAGTCTCCAGGAATGACTGCCAGCAAAGCCCGACAACTAACAAGAAAGAGCACGGTGCAAAGACTGCAGAAAGCGCGTGCTAGCCTTTGATCATGTCCCGCACCCTGCCTGGCGTTGGAGCAGGGCCTCCTCTTGGCTTTCTGCCCGTGGCGGAACCGGGCGATCCTCGCCAACGGCATCCTGTCAGGACGACATGTTGAGAAGGAACCCTCGGCATTCGAGGATGACTTCGCAGCTTAAGGTCTATGCTGATTCGCGAGAGCTCTCTGGCTCCTTGCGGGCGTCGGGATCGAACTTGCGGGTTTCACGCTGATGGTGGTGCTTGTCAAAAACCGCTTTCAGGATGTCACTTGCTGCATGGGGATCCCGAGTGCGCTTCCGTGCCATCGCGACATGCTGCACGTCCAAGCCTCGGTCTCCCATGGTCGTTAGGAGCCTATGCATGCAATAGTCATGCATCAAAAATTGCTGGAGTTCAGTCAGGGAACCAACATGCGCTTTCAGGGCATCGATTTCATTCTGCTGGGCAGCGATCTCGGCTTGCTGCAATTGGACCACGGTCTCCACTTGCGCCATCTGCGGGAGAAGGTTTAGGACCGGGCCCTAAGCTTTGAGGCCGCTCGGTAGACCCGGTAGAAACCCCGCTCCAGGCAGCACGGAATGCATCCACTACACGCAGTTCTACGCCGTAGGTAGGGAAAAGGCGTGATCCGAAACACTCTTCCCCATGACTCTGCACAACAGCATCATTCATGCCACTGGGAGCACAATTTCGACGATGCGGCTAAACTCAGCCTCTAGCTTGATAAATGCAAACTTGTAAGTTCAGGGTCGAGCGCCTAGAGTGTAGGGGCTTTTCAATGCAAAGAGGCGTGTAAAGGACCGGTTCCCTAAGCGAGGCACCCCCAGACCCAACACCCATCGGCCTTGACCATCATGAACTCCAGGTGCTTGGCCAAATCGCCGAAGTCATCGGTGGAATTGCCTTCCTCGCCCAGGGCTTCAAGCTTCTAGCAGATGTATGCTTCATGCCACGACAGCGGTCTTTGTTTATTCTCTTTCAATCCTAAGGACGCAAAACCCACCCCCTCCGCAGCAGCTACTGCAGCCTTCCGCGCCTCGACGAGTTGGCCAGTTCCGAGTATCCGCAAGAGCATAAACCCCACTTGACGTGTTGCGCTAAAGCCTTGAAGAAAAACCTCCGAGCACGCGCGCACCCCATGTTGCTGGTTCAAGCAATGAGTGTAGGTCTTGTTGGACTATATCAAAAACCGGGCGTGGCGGCTTACACGTATTTGACGTTTTGTTGCTTCCGCGCCCCTCCGCGGAACAATGCCTTCCGCATCCCTTCCGCATCCTTACGCGTGCACAGTCCTAGACCGATTTTCATATCGAGTGAAAGTTGTGTCCAGCTTTAATCTCCCGGAAAGAGACGGACATGAAAAACGCAGCGACGAGGGAGCTGGTGCAGGCCTGCTTCGGATCGGGAACTTTGCTGTCTTCCTCCGCGTCATGAACCAAGTTCTTCTCCACCAACTTTCCCACCTACAATGCACCGTTCCGGAGGAAAGCGCAAGACCTTGGCGTGCCACCGCGACCTGGCCTTCTCGGCGACTGTGGGGTCGGCTGAGTTTGTGAGGTTGATGGGCGACTCGGACAACTTGTAGGACTGGACCCCCGGACATCCGGAGAGCCATCCCAGGGGCCCGACCACCCAAGCGATCACCAGAAAGCGGCTCACCTGGCGAGACACTTGAACAGATGCCTCACCTCGAGACAGGCCTCCTCGCTTGCCGGAAAGAACGCTTCACGGATAGTTACACGTGAAGGAGCTATTCTTCCGACCCCTGCAAGGCTGACTTTCTTCGCAATCCCAGTCGCCTGGATCATGCTGAGGCTCGCCGCGGAATAAACTTGCTTCATTCGAACTTTACGGATTGGGGAAATGGCTGCAGGTCGCAAACTCTCTCCTCGGTGCCTTCGCTCGATCTGCAAAGGAAAGAGTGCTGGCAGGCAGGACAGGCATAGGTGCACTGGATGGTCGGAACTAGCACCTTAGCTCTGCGGACCTGTGAGGACACCGGCGCTACCCCCAGCAACGATGCATTCCGACTGTGGCAGTGACGATGTCAAGCCAATCTCTCCTCATTGAAGGCACCTCCGCACATGCTCAACCGGTGCTTCCGCTGCCACGGCGTCAAGAATCGGTGCAGCCCTCGTCCGAGAGCTCTTGAGCTGCCTACGGTCCCGCTGGCTAATCTGGCCACCGGGTCACACTTGAAGACAACTGTGTTCGGAGGCCTCCAATCTTCTCGGAAAACGGTCTCCGGTCAAGTCCTGATGCAGATGTAGCGGATATGTTCTATGACTCTATGACATCTCAAATTACTCACCGTGACAGGAAATCAGCACTCTGTAGTGTGACATCATTACGGGGCATGGGGCTCTGGGGCGAACGGATGTCATCGTGGTTCGGGGCGAAGGGATGCACTGGTACCGCCGAACTGCGAAGGCCTGAGAGGCTGTCCTTCTGCAGCAGCCAACGGTTGCGTCCAGGGCCACTGGCCTCAGATGTCGGCACTCAGCTCTATGGCAAGCCTATCTTAGTCTGTCGCGCCAGACTACCTGTGGTGGAAGGATGCAGACGCCCCGAACCCTCTCCCAAAGTCCACTCCAAGATGATTCTGCCCGGCCTCACTCAAGTGGTCACGCGTGGCGAGGTCACCGCGCTGGCACCTCAAACGAAGACAGAGACAAACGAGCAAAAGCAGAAACTCGACTCAGCGCAGCTTCCAGGCTACACATACTATAAGTATTCGCATTGTGCGACGTTTATCCAGAATCAGGCACATGCCCCACAGCCCCATCCACAAAACCCGCAGTGCGCACCCGGAAATTGTGCCGGGCCGCTACATACAGTTCCAGACGCAATCGGCGATGGCTCTGCATTGTGTCCGGCGACAAGATGGCTTCACGCCCTTTGACATGGCGCAACGGATTTACAATGCAGATCCGGCCCACCTTTGGGTCCGAGCTCCCACGAACCGGCCGCTGAAGCTCAGCCGAGCCGGCCGCCCCATCCACTCCGTCGTGGCAGTCCTCGACCAACGACGGCACTCACGGCACCGGACTGCCGTGGTTTTCTTGGACCTACGACCGGTTTGCCTCGGAGTCCAATGGATTGCAGCCACCAACTTTGTCTTCGATGCCGGTGCATACATCGACTGGCTTCAGTTGGGGAGGCAGTGCAAGGATACTCGGTGGTGGTGGTTGGTGGTCAAAAATGACAAAGGTATGTTATCCCAAATTATGCGACCCCCCCTAGAAGCCATTAAAGCCCGGCTCATGCCTCTCGAAACTTCTCTGCCGCGCCGAAGTGCCAACTCAATTCGCTGTGCCTCCTGGGAAGGAGGTGGAACTCAGCCTTTTCATACGTTTTAGGGTTTAGGGTCCTCCTGATATAGTGCCCTATGAAAAAACTCTGAGGGTGGCCGTCATCGCAGCCATCGCAGGCTGAAAGGTCAAGACCGGCAGCGGCATGATCAACACTGCACTAGTCGTACTTACAAGAGGCATTGCCAGAGCCTGCCGAGGTGATCAGCACAACAGGCATCACCGTCACTGCAATCGTCGAGATCATTAACACGGCCTTATCTTCAACATCTCCTAGCTGGGATCCTGACGCGGAAGTCCCCACATTCTCCAAACGGCGCTCCTCCGCGACCTCCTCGGGAATCTCATTCACCACAGGGGCAGCAGCGACAACCGTCCAGTCTTGACAGCGCTCCTCATCTCAGGGGCTCGGGTTCAGATGCGAAGCCTTTGGGGCCTGGGGGTTGTGTGCCCAAGAGCACCCAAGGCTTCTTGGCTGATAAGGGCATTAGGGTGCTCACGAGGGAGGAGCTGAGACAACGAGGCTGTGGCGAAACACGAAGCCCAGTAGTGGTCGTCTTTATACACACTTGGCAGCAAGCGCATCGACTCTTCGCCGAGCCCGCTTTGGAGCTGCAAGGCGACGGTGGCACTGCTCTTGAGAGGTCCGATTCGTATCGAATTGCAAGGTATGACAGGTATGACATGGCATGACTAACGAGTCGTCGTGGGAGCTGGCAACCCTTCGTGTGGATCAGCCGTCGTCCGGGAAGTATTGCCAGAGCTGAGACCATGAACCAAGCCATTCAGTTGCCAAACTCCCAGCGACGATGGCAATATCAACATCATCGGACAGCGACGTCGAGGATGTTTTGGTCTCACTGGGTGCAGCAGGTATAAAAAGCAACACCGTAACTTTCCAGCCGGAAAAGCAACCATTATCGACGAGTTGGGAGATTTGTCGTTTCTTTGCCGACATCTTCTTGCTGGCCTTCTTCTTCTTCGTGCCGCCACAGTCAAGCAGCACTAGCCGTTTGGGAGCTGCACAAAACCAAATGTCCGCCAGCGGGTGGCCCTCCGTGCCATCCAGTCCATCGTAGTAAAGCGTATGGCGTGTGAGACTTTCAAGCGCTGTATCCAATTGAAGTTCTGAACCTGTTGCAGACACTTTCTTGAAAAGCCTCCCTGCCTCGAGCTGCTGAAAGGACAACATGATACTGGAGCCATTTGGTAGACGCAGAGAATCCCTGCATGTCAGGGCACACAAAACTGCGCGCTCCAAAGGTGATCCAACCAAGACTTTGGCGGGAGCGTTTCTCATGTCCCGAATAAAAACATCGCGAGATTCCCAAAAGCATGATGACAGTTCGGTTGGGTTTAGTGGCTGGATGTAGAGCAATCGGAACAGTGGTAAGCACAGGTGCTGCCCGGAAACAGAAACCAGTGTTGGCATTACCTCTTTTTGAGGTGCGTCTGCATCTTTAATGCCAGCCACCAGTTTTCTGACCATCTCGGTATCTAACGGATCCTGGCCCTTGTCCCAGGTTATGACGTCCTGAAACGTTTCTCCGAATTTGGCAAGGAACTGGCTTGTTTGCTTCTTTGCGCCCTTCTGCAGCCATGTGGTCAGCGACGAAAACCGTTGTCGGAGTTGAGAGTCTTGTCGGTGCAATGCAGTCGGTGATTCGGCATCAATGCAGAGACTAACCCAGAGCAAGCAACATGCCCACACCCTCTGTTCGCTAGCTTTCCAGTCCGCAGGCTTGCCATACATGCCGAGAATGTCTGGACAAAAATGCAGCACAACCTTGTCTGCTGCTGCCCTCGCGAACGGCAAGGCAACTCGAGCTAAAGCTGACGTGTTTCTGGCATCATCCGGCGGCAAGCTTGGCGGCTCGGTGAATGTGAGAATCACTCTCACAAAGTCGATTGATAGCAGGGCTTGTACCGCAGCACGGCGAAACTGTATGGCGCGTGTATATTCGCCTTCCCACATCTTCTTGTGTTCATCCAAGTGTATCAAAACAAGCTTCTGCCCTGGCCTGATTTCATCTAACGAATTCTTGATCCGAGCACGCAGCTTGTCAATGTCAACAGCAGTACCGTCAGCGATTGACGTAAACCACTCCGGAAGCGGATAATTCCTTACGTATCGTCCGTTTTCCAGCTGCGTCTTGAGGCAGTCCCACATAAACGCTACTCCAGCTGTTTCCGGGTCTGTCATCTTTCTGTGCATTTTCTCGATCATTGGCAGGCTTGGTCCCGCATGGCGCTGCTCTGCATTGTTGTAGAAGCTCATGTAGAGGTACAGCCCAAAATCGTCATTTGTGAGAAACGCTGGCAAAACACTGCTGGTCTTTCCATATGCCCCGGGAGCCGTCAAGTAAGGAGCCACAAGGCGGCCCGTCGTCCCTGGCACGTTCGCGAGGAGACTTCCCAGTGTCTGCACGTCCGCCTCCTTGCCGAAGTAGAGCAACTCAAAAAGAGGCAATGCCTTGTTATCCACTTCCCGAACCGGTAGGGTGCTCTTGTATGTATCCCAGTTCTGCAGCATGCAGATATTACCGTTCTGCATATCATCATCAAACTTAGACTTTAGTGCATCCTTCACCCAGAAGGCGGCCGAGGACCCAGCTGGCAACGCCTAGCACATGAAACCAGGCATGCGGGGCTTCAAACAGTCAAGGTCCGCAACATCCTATACACACTGCAACAACTAGCCCCCGACACCTCGAAAGAGCAAAACAACGCCTAACGGATGATCTTTTGGCTGTGTCAAAACCTATCCCGTCTCCCAGAGGGAGAAAAGCCCTGGCACCTCCTCCCAACCAGCCTGAACCGAAACAACCAGCCCCAACAACCAGAGCCCCGGACATGAGTGCTGCAAACCTACGGCAACATGCTCACGCAGAAGACCCCCGGCCCCGGCCGGCACTCGTCTTCCGGAACTCCACTACTCTTCAAGGTCCGCGTGCTAAAGGCAAGCACTAAGAACCCAGGGTTGACTCCCTTGACCCCCCCCTCACGGACTCAGTAACCTGAAAGTCGAGCCTCAAACAAACACAACCGCAACCTCGAGAACGAGCGCAAAGCGAGCGCAAAACAGGCTGACCCCCCCATCTCGAGCCTAGGACTGACACCCTGTGCTGAAGCATCGGCAAAACACAAGAGCACCAGATTTGCCTGAACCTGCAGCAGCCAAGAGCCCCTCCCGCTCCCCCAAGCGCTGCAAGCCAACACAGTGGAGACAGCTTAACCACAAGGGGATCCTTGCTGAGAGGAAAGCAGCACCCCAAAAAGCAACAACGGTGGACCGCACGAAAACGCACGACGACCAAGAGCCCCCGGACATGCAGGAGTGCTACAAACCAAAGGCATGCTCACGCAGAAGCCCCCTGCACTCGTCTTGCCGGAACCCGCTCGCCAAGGTCCGCGTGCTAAAGGCAAAAAAGCACTAAGAACCCAGGTCCCTTGACTCCCCCTCACGGACACAGGAACCTGAAAGTCGAGCCTCAAACAAAGCAACCGCAACCTGGAGAGCGCAAAGCGAGCGCAAAAGAGGCCGACCCCCCCCCCACCTCGAGCCGAGGACTGACACCCCGTTCTGAAGCATCGGCAAAACACGAGGTGCAACCAGATTTGCGTGAAACCTGAAGCAGCCAGGAGCCCGCTGCTCCGAAAGCCCCTCCCGCTCCCCCCGAACTGCTGGAAGCCAACACAGTAGAGACAGCTTAACCACAAGGAGATCTTGAGAGGAAAGCAGCACCCCAAAATGCAGCAACGATGGACCGCACGAAAACGCACGACGACATGCAGGAGTGCTACAAGCCAAAGGCAACATGCCCATGCAGAAGCCCCCGGCCTGCACTCGTCTTGCCGGAACCCCACTGCTCGGCAAGATCCGCGTGCTAAATAAGAACCCAGGCCCCTTGACTCCCCCTCACGGACACAGTAACCGGAAAGTCGAGCCTCAAACAGAAACAACCGCAACCTGGAGAGCGAGCGCAAAGCGAGCGCAAAACAGGCTGACCTCCCCATCTCGAGCCTAGGACTGACACCCCGTTCTGAAGCATCGGCAAAACACAACCAGATTTGCCTTAACCTGCAGCCGCCAAGAGCCGCTCCCGCTCCCCGAAGGGCTGCAAGCCAACATAGTGAAGCCTAACGACGAGCGGAATCCTTGCTGAGAGGAGAGCATGACCCCAAAAAGCAAAAACGGTGGACCGCACGAAAACACATGCGGGAGTGCCGCAAACCAAAGGCAACAGCAACAGCTGCAAACGCAGAAGCCCTGGCCTGCACTCGTCCTGCCTGGATGCTTGCTTTGGCCTCGTACTTCTGCTCGGCCTCCGTGAGCTCCTCCTTGGCCACCTTGAGCTCCTTCTTGGCCTCCGTGAGCTCCTCCTTGGCCACCTTGAGCTCCTTCTTCTTCGTTTCGATCTCATCGGCCTTCTCGCTGCTGCTGTCTTCCAATTCCAGCAGCTGCTTCTGCAGGTATGCAGTCAGGTCCTGTGCCGTTTCCAGCCCGCTCTGTGCCGTTTCCAGCCCTCTGAGGGCCACATCTCGCTGTCGTTTTGCCGCATCCAGATCCTGCCAGGTGCAGGGGTGCCAAGAGCCCGCTCAGACGCAGCCCACAACAAGAAAGGCAAGCAAGCAACAACACCCTCGGAGGCACAGCCTGCTTGGCATCTTCGACCGGGTCAGCGGTCTGTGCTGAGGCAGCCTGCATAAGCAACCCCTCAAGCTCATCGGAATTCGTCTGAAGCTCCCTGGCCGCACCACACCGAAAGGACAGAAACCACTTAAGCAAGAGACACCGCAAAGCGCCTCATCCACTGCCTTGTTTCGCGAACCCTGCGGCAAGGGGCACATCCTTAGACATGCTAGTGTCAGCGAGCCTTCGCGGAGCCCGCCTGATCGAAGCTTGCTTTGGCCTGCAGGAGACACAGAGCTGCGAAGCCCTCACCATCAAGAACAGGCTCATGAAAGTGCATCGGCCGTCGCCTCCTCCACATCATCCTTTCCTTTGGGGGCCTGCCAACATGGACTGATCCCGAGAAGTCCTACATGTGCTGCTAGCAGGACCGTTTCATGCAAGCATGAGACCATCGCAATCAATCCCTCAAGCTCCATCTGATGCTCCCGCCGAGCAGCTATCGATTCGATATCCGAACACACACACACACACACACACACACACACACACACACCGAAAGGACAAACCACTCTCGCCTTGCTTTTGCTGTCACGAGGTTCCAAAGGCCCCAGGTCAGAAACGGGCAGGAGCGAAGGAAACGCCATTAGAACTGCACAACCACGACAAACCCTTTTCGCCTTGTCGTCTTCATTGCCTTCGGCCTCACCACGGTCCAAAGGGCCATCAGCCTCAGCTCTGCAGGACATAAGCTTAACACTAAACTTCTCTCGGTCTTGGCTTCCCACCTTAGCCCTGCGTGCGACGAGAAAGTTGCGTGCCCATGTTCCCGGAGGAACCGACCTCGCTCTGGCTTGTGCGCATCTTCGGCACTCCTTGCCATATATCACAACCCACCTTGAAAAGGGCACGGCCCCCGCTCCAAGCAAAGCCCGCGCGGTCTGCGATGCTCGCCTGAAGCTGGTCGGGAACACCTCTAACACTGGTCAAAGCGCCGGTCTTAGGCTCTGGCTCACACACCAAGAACAGCGCCAGTAGCACCAGCACACGCCTGAGCTTGCGCGATGTTGCTGGAGGCCTGCTCATGGCGGCAGTCGTTCTAGCTAGCTGTCCTCTGGCTCGAGCAAAAGGCAGTCTGCAAGAACGAATGGTCGAGCTCCACCTGTTTCAGTTTGACTGCTGGTTCATCCCTCCAAGCCAGCCTCTTGACTGGGTGAGTTACCTTAGCTGAAAGCTTTGTTGGCCATTTCGCTTGGCTTCTTTCTGTTGCTAAATGAAGTGACCTGTTTCGGCTTGGACACGCTTGCCCAGCTGTGTGAGAATTTGTGTTGTATCAATGGTCAACGCTTTCTAGGGTTCAGGGGTTTCTGGGTTACGGTTAGGGTTTAGGGTGTTGGGGGCCTTCGAGTACTCTTCGACCCTAAACCCAGAACCTTGAGGGCTTAGGCAAAGCACATGTGCTGTCCACAGCCTCCCACACAGGCAGCCAAGAGCTTCTCGACCGGACTGTCCTGTGTCGGGGGAAGGCTTAGGCGGTTTGGTTTAGGGTTTAGGGTTCACGTAAGGGTTTTGGGGGGGTGTTCCAGGTGAAGGGGTGAAGCCCTGCCCGCAACCTCGAGTGGAGGGGTGAAGGCCCCAGCCCGCAAATCCCGGGTGAAGGGGTGAAGGGTGAAGCCCCGCAGCCGGCAAACCCCGCATGTGGGGGTGAAGCCCCGCAGCCCGCAAACCCCGGGTGAAGGGGTGAAGGGGTGAAGCCCCGCAGCCCGCAAATCTCGGGTGAAGGGGTGAAGGGGTGAAGCCCCGCAGCCCGCAAACCCCCGGGTGAAGGGGTGAAGCCCCGCAGCCCGCAACCTTCGGGTGAAGGGGTGAAGCCCCGCAGCCCGCAACTTGAAGGGTGAAGCCCTGCAGCCCGCAACCTCGGGTGAAGGGGAGTCTGGACCTGCCTGGAATTGAGGCCCAGCCTGACCTGCCTGGAATTGAGGCGCAGTTCACATGGGTTTGGGGTTTCACCCCTTCACCCCCTTCACCCCTCTTCGGGCCCTTCACCCCCTTCACCCCCTTCACCCCCCCCTTCGAGCCCCTGACCCTTCACCCCCTTCACCCCCCCTTCGGGCCCCTGACCCGGCACCCCCTTCACCCCCCTTTCGCGCCCCTGATCCTTCACCCCCTTACCCTCTTCAAACCCTTCACCCCCTTCACCCCCTTCACCCCCCCTTCGGGCCCCTGACCCAACACCCCCTTCACCCCCTCCGGCCCCTGACCCTTCACCACCCCTTCGAGGCCCCACCCTTCCTCCTCTTCAACGGTCACGGGGTCACGCCCTCCCCCCTTCTGCAAAGCTCTTCCCTAAACCCCTGCCTGCACCTGAAGATCTCGTGGTGAAGATGGGCGGCGAGAAGAAGCCTTCGATGAGCACCTGGCCACAAGAGGGCCCGGGGTTCCCGGGAAGGGAAGGGATGGGAAACCCTCCTACAACACCCCAAGAACCCTGTCGGCAGCATCCCTGAACTCGTGCACTGGGTCACTTGAAGGGCGGCCTAAACCAGGGGGAAAGGGCAAGGGCTACGAACCTGCAGGGCTCTGGCATTCTCTCAGAGCGCCCGGCGAGGATGATCGAAGATGTACGCGTCGAGGAAGGTCACGATGAGCACCTGGGCCGCGAGAGGGGGCCCGGGGTTCCCGGGAGAGGGCAAGGAGACGCACGGCACTCTAGAGCTACAGGGGAGGTGGGGAGGGCAGCACAGGGCACTCATGACACCAAACCTCGCTGCCTCGGAACCCACAAGCCTACCAAACCCCAAACCCTGAAGCCTTGCAGTCTTGACCTCGCAGCTTCGGAATCCCTTGCCTGCCAACCCTAAACCCTGAAGCATCCGTGGCCCCGGCGTCACGGCCTGCCCTGTGTCAGGGCTGTGGGTGCTTGCGATAGCTGCGTTGCATTCTTTACTTGTGGTAGTCCAAAGGCACTCTTCGGATTCATGCTTCTCCGTTACCTGTGTTGCCTAAGATGCCTTGCAAGTGAAAGCTGTGACATGTTGCTGCCTGCTCTTCGAGGAAGCGAGCGCGGGACAAGCAAAAACCATCAAAACAATCCAAAAAAACATGCCAAAAACATGCGAAAATCAAGCAAGCATGCAAAAGACAAAAAGCTAGAGTTTTTAGGGTTTAGGGCAGGGTTTAAGGGGAATGTTTGTTTAGGCCTGCTCGCTCCAGAGCAGTGAAGTAGGCCTGCTCGCTCCAGAGCAGTGACTAAGCCTGCTCGCTCCAGAGCAGTGACTAAGCCTGCTCGCTCCAGAGCAGTGAAACATGAAAAGACTCGCGCAAAACGAAAAAACTGCCGTATAAGGTTTAGGGGTTAGGGAGTATAGGGTTTAGGGAGGGCTTGAGCCGAACCTGTACACAAGAGTTGAGCCAAAAACTGTACAAGCCGCTGTACAACGGAGAGGGACTTGAGCCAACAACTGTACAACAAGACTCGTCCGGCGAAGGGGGCCCCGCTCGGGCGACGACCTTTTTTCCGGGCGGGTTGTTCAAAACATGGACCAGTTCCTCGCGAACCTCCGGCCCAAGCCGCAGCCCAAGCCCAAGCCAGCGAATTTGATGGAGGAGGTCATCTCGATCAAGCACGACGAAAGCGTGGTCGAGAACCCATGTTTGTACACGGTGGCGCGGGAGTGGGCGGCTCGACTGGGAGTGACCGAAATGGCCGCGAGTCAGATGACTGTGGCCTTCTATCAGCTGCCCGCTAGGCCCTATAAGCCTCAGGAGAGGCCCCCACCGGAGAGGGTCTCTCTGGCCGAGAAGGTCTTGTCTTCGGGCCCGATGCAGGCTTGGTTCGAGTCGCGCGACGTCTTCGCGTGCAGTCGGACCGTCGCGGAAAAGAGGTGCCGCAGGTGGCCGAAATTCGAGGAGTCGCGCGACCTTGAAAATTTGGGGCGGACGGCCATTCAAGTGGTGCACGAGTGAGTGAGGCCGCTGCGCCGATACTGGAGGAGACGAATATACCAAGTGCTCGGCGTGTGCACGCACTGGACGAAGAGCTACCAGCAGAAGCGGGACATAATCAGCCGCGTCTTCGCAAGCCACGCGGTAGAATCGGCCCGGAAAGCTCGACCGGCGAAGGGGGGCCCGCTCGGGGGACGACCTTTTTTCCGGGCGGGTTGTTCAAGCAAGTCACCATGAGCTGGGCTCAGCAACGACAAGCTATCAAACTAGCAGCCGAGGCCGGGGTCAGGGCGGGGACCTCGGCGGCAGGCTCAGAAACCCTTCCTTTGACACACCACCACCTCCGCTACGCGATGCTCAGCCGCCCCAACGGCGAGCTCACCAGGGCCGGCCAGTATTACTACCAACTGATCGGCCGGCCGCCCCCCAGCCGGCAGTACGACCGCAACCAGCCCCTCATCCGCGAAGGCCCCAACGACTACATCACGCTTCGGGGGGGCGCCAAGAAGCTGCTCCGCAGCCTCCAGCCCAACGGGAACTACCACTTGACCAAGCTCGGGAAGAGCTTCTTCAAGGACAAGTGGGTGGACTGGGTGGTGCACGTGCCCGTCATCATCCGCGGCGTCCGGCGAAACGGCCGGAACCGCGGCATGCCCTACGAGCGCACGAAGCGCCTGCCCGTCAGCGACCTCAACGTCGCCCTGTCCCGGCAGAGCGAGGGGCTCTCGGACGTGATCAATCACTTTCCCCAGTCACACAAATGCAAACATTCCTTTGTGACATCCAGCCTTAGTCCAGTCTTGAGCCAATGCCATTTAACACTGAGAGTGAGTGAGTGAGTGAGTGAGTGGGGGTCTTAAGGTCAAGGGTTTAGGGCGTCTGCTATTTTCATTTTCGGGGTTGATAAGTTGTAATAGTAGGATATAGGCTTTCACTATTCGAGTGCTTCGGATCTTCGGGCTTTGGGACAATTGAAAAGTCCATAGGATGAGCTTGGGATTTTTGATATTTTTGTGTCGCGGTGTATTATATTTATTATTTTGGGGATTTCGGATCTATCTCGTATGGGATTTACCTATATCTTTAAGGCTCAAATATTTTCATAAATACTACATGCTTTGATTTTTTAATTTAGGGTTCTAAAGGTTTAGGACACAAAAAAAGTAAAAAACAAGCATGCGCAGCAGACTCAAGCGCGACATCACCTTTTCCATGCTCCCATGCTTCCCCTTGGAGTTCGCTTGCTACTCTGGCAACAACCTCAGGCAAGTTGCCAGCGCTACGTGACTTAATTGTCGAGAACCATCTTCTCTCGATGCACCTCCTTCTCGGTTTCGGAAAGGAGTTTGACACAATTGTGCTCTCCAATTCTCGCGGACTTTCTAGTCACAATGTTTCTGAATTTCTTGTCGTCTCTTGGGCACGACACTTTATGCTGACATGTAGCAAGTCCTGGTTCTCCTCTGATTGACCCTGCAGACACTCGAACCCGATTCTGGAACCAACATCGTGGGCAAGAGTCTTCTGGAAGAAGCTGCAGCATAGTCGTCCGTAGTCCGAGGGATTTAACAACGGACCAGCTCATCGGCAGATCCCATGGTTGTCTTGTAATAAAACTGCGGGTTGCAACATGCACCATGTCCACAAAATACTTACACAATCGATCACTGTCATGATAAACTTCGCAACAGCCCATGCCACGTCCTTGTCGAGACTGCAAGCTCTCACTGAAAGTGTAGGGAAACGTTGTGTCTGCATACTTCGCACGTGCAGTATGTAAGCATCTTTCCACTTGCCTCAATTGCAAAGATGTCGCTTCTAGTCGTAGAACGAAGCCTAAACCCATTATCGAAGCTGTGGTGTAGCCTGCTAGCCGGAATGGTCTCACATACCGAAGCCATGTATCGAGAGTTGCACTCACGAAGGCGAGGCTCCTCAAATCACATGTCATGGCTGTGCCGACCTTTAATCTCGTGCAATTTCCATCGTCGGATCCATAGCGAACAACATGCATCTGGTCGATGACGATGCCAATGCCATATGTTTCATACACATGCCGGCCAATCTGAAGTATAAGATGTCGCAGATCTATAATATGCTTCGGTAGATCTGCAACAAGAGGACGATGACGCTCTTCCTCTAAAAATGTGCGGAACATGTCTGCAGTGACAAATACGCCATGAGTTTCCTCAGCACAACTTGACTCATCTGAACTTGTAGCATTACCAGAAGCAAGGTCTTGCTTCACACTCACAAACCACGGTTGCTTGCCGAATTCAACTGAATCTGCAACATGACCACCTCCATCATTCTTGACAGCATGCCGTGCTATCAGCTCAAGTTCCTCTGTCACTACATCTTGTGCGAAATCTAGCAATGCTGTCGCCAACTGGTGCAGTAGTCCATTCAAATTGGACGAGCGCAGCTCTGATATGATCTTCTCCTCATCCGAGTTGATGTTTGTTTTCGCAAAGAAGTGGTGGAAAAAAGGCTTTGTGCAATGAACGGGTCGCTCTCGTTTGCCAGAAATCCTCCGTGGGTGATCAATGCGTTCTGGAACATCATGTAGTGGCTCGTCTGGAAGCTCGCCTGGAATAGTCGTTGCTTCGGAAGGAGCCCGAGCCGAGTGTCCCAAATCCAAGCTGCTGAGGTGGTTCTCAATGTCTTGAGTTGTTAACAAGTTGACTGGTTCAGGCGCCTCCGAGGTCTCAGCCTTACTCACCAAGTCCTTGTTGACAAGAGCATCCAGCAAGACTCCTTTGTTCTTCGCACGTTGTAGACTGGCTTCGGCTAGCTGTTTTGCTATATGTCGCTCTTCTCTGTTCTCATCTTCAGTGGTCTGCAAAAGAAATGCCCAGTTCGACATGGCTGCTTGGTGTAAGAATATTTCAATGAAAGTAGAATGGACATGCGCAATTATGCCAAACACTCTCTACCGTCAGAATTGAAAACAAAGATATATATAATTTATTTCCTTCTGATTCCTGTCGCCCTAAGTTATAAGGGCATTCACAATATATAGGCCATTATGTGCCTTCACATTAAGAAATATAATATAAAAGAAAATTCGCGTGACATCCGAAGCCTTCGTTTTGCAATGGGATCTGCGACAAAGTCTGAGTCGTAAGAAGAAGCACCGATGGTCACTGAGCTCACTGCTCGAACACATCGGGCCCTCCACACCCCGACGGGAGTGAAAAAGGGGATGGGCGGGCGGGACAAAAACTGAGCCTTTGCCCAGCTACGGGGTTTCCCACCTCCCTCCCTGGAGCCGTAATGTTGCACGGGCAAAGGAAGATTCCACATCGTTCCAAAGACTGGAAAACGATTAAGGGAAAACTTCGGGCTCTTGAAAGTCAAACTTTCAAAAATTCGGAATCAGGAAAATAAAACTATATCACCTTCGGTGAGATTCGTCTTATTTCCTTCTGATTCCTGTCGCCCTAAGTTATAAGGGCATTCACAATATATAGGCCATTATGTGCCTTCACATTAAGAAATATAATATAAAAGAAAATTCGCGTGACATCCGAAGCCTTCGTTTTGCAATGGGATCTGCGACAAAGTCTGAGTCGTAAGAAGAAGCACCGATGGTCACTGAGCTCACTGCTCGAACACATCGGGCCCTCCACACCCCACGCACAGGCCCTAAGGTGTCAAGGCAGTGAGCCGCACACGAAGAGACGAATCAAGATTGCTGTAATCCTTCCGAGATGGACCATCAGCAGGATTACTTTGGGATGGCACCCACTCACACCAAATGTTGATATCGTTCTCTTCCTCGAAGCAGACAAGCTTCTGAAGTATGCAAGCTGCAATGCCTTCTGCGCGGCCACTTATCAAGCATGACAAAGCTGACTCGTTGTCCACAAACAGCACTAGGTCAATGTTCGACTTGCCTTTGAGCAAGTCCACGACACCTTGCACTGCTGCGAAGATCTCCAATTCATAAATCAAACCCTCCTTAGCATCAGAGCCGAAGGGGACAAGGTCACAAGGATCAATCCACTCAGCAAACCACTTGAGAGGCTTGGCAGCTGAGTCGTAAAGGATCCCACCAAGTCCTGAACCTTCGCTTCCAAAGGAGGCGTCAGTGAAGAGGGTCAGCTTTTCCCTTTTGCAAGCACTGACACGCCTTGGCTCACCATTCACGATGTGATCACGGAAGAACAGAAGCGCGTGCAGCAGCTCACCAGTTATTTTGACATTCTTCTTACAAGAGCAGGCTTTGGACAGGACAGAGAAGACCTGCCGAGCACGCCTGCCAAAGACCTGATTGTCAGCAAACAAGAGTCTGCCACGAAGCACTGTCAGCTCATGACTCGATGCAGAGCCCCTTGATACCAACAAGTCAAGAAGATTGCTCAAATCGCGTATCCTGTGCTCAGTATTCGAAACTACGACTAGACCAGCCCGAACGTCAGCAAACGAGATGGAAACCCCCAGCACTCGAGCCAGGCAGTTAAATCCCGAGTCCTTTTCGGACGACGTAGACCAGCCAAGCAAGTCAAAGAAACCCCGTTGAATCAAATGCACATGCTCTGCCTCCGACTGCGCTGCCACCAAGAAAAAGTCGTCAAAGTAGCAGCTCCAGTGGAGCTGCAACAGGACAACCCCTATCCAAAACAAAGCAAGCGAGCATCTACAAAATCCGTTAACTGCAGCACGGGCCCCGAAGGGCAGCACACGTGTGCGGTATATGGAAGGCTGATTGCACTCGGGGTTATGCACACACAAGAAGCAATCGTTCAGCGATTCAAGCGAAACCGGAAGTTGCTTATAGGCTTTTCTAAGGTCCACTGTGCAAGCCACCAGCTCCTCAGGCTCAGCCTGCTCAGGCCTCGAGGTGATGCGCCGGCAAATCCCAGCAACAATGGTGTCCACACCATGAGGCGAAATGGTTTCCACGCTGGCATTAGTGAGATTCACTTGGCTCTCGGTATAGTCATCAATCGGCCTCGTTTTATCAAGAACCGAACCATCAGCCTGTGTGCTTGTTTGCCGAATGCCAAACCTGCGAGTGAGCACAGCACCATCTGGCAAAGGAAAGTCGTGTGGCCCATCAAGCCATCCCCTTTCTTTCTCATCACAGGTGAGCGCGAAAACCTCTTCGGCAACTTGTTTGTCCTTGGAAGATCGGCAGGCTCCCAAGATTGCCTTATTGATCGATGATGCATTATCACGGACTTCCTTTGGCGTCAAAGTTGCAAAAGTGTTTTTCCTAGGCATGGCACCAGAAGCGGGCAATGGACCCATAATGTCAAAGCCTCTCTTCACCTGACTAGGCAGCCCACTGTCAACATGCCCACTTTCATCAAGCATTTCTTTGAACAGCCTAAGGTCCTTGCCTTTTAAGACCTCCGCACAGTGACCCACAGGAGGATCTGGATCAACTTGCTCTGACAACTCTTTTGCCCTAGCCACCCAGCGCCGAAGTGAAGCAGTCCTTTCCCGACCAAGACTCTCGTAACTTTCTGAAGCACACTTGCTGACACACTTCGCAAGTACATCAGGGATGCCACTGTAAAGGTGCTTGGGATGCTCAGCGAAGCATGCTTGCTGCACAAAGTCTTCACAAGACTTTGGCACGGAGAAAGTCATTTCCCGAATCGAAGGAAGGTCAGCCCCACCCCCGAAGAGCACTGACCGAAGGCACTTGCCTCCAGCAGGCAGGCCATGCATGGGCGGCAGGACGACAAGCTCTGAAGACAATGGCGTAAATGACTTTAAGACACCAGTGGGTGGCATGACAGCACCGGGTCCTCGAAGCACAACAGTGCCAGCAACAGGCGGCACAATCGGCGGGATGCGTTTTCCTTTCGGCTGCTTGGCAGCAGCAACCTGAGCAGCACGGTGCATGGACACATCAGTCACAGTGGAGGGCACACACCCAAAGGCCTTGAGGCGCTCAAGCAATGCTCTAGCAAATCCATCGCATAGGTCAGGTGGATACACGTGCAAGGCACCCGACTGCCAGGGAGCATGGGAGTGCGAATCATCACAAGCAATTCCTAACCTACGAAGTTCAGGGTAGTTGTGGAAGAAAGTTGAGTGCTTAGCACACGGATCCCCGAACATGCACTGGTGCAATGAGGTCTTGAGAAAGCCTAAGGCGAGGCAGGTTTTGCCAAGGGGGCCCTGCCACGCGGAGCTTGCAGCCGGGTTTTCAACTGACACGAGAATGCCACGGCCGTGGCACCACTTCAGGATCCGGGCCGACAGCTCACAAAGTGGTGCATCACTCGCAGGCGGCGAGATGTGCACACCACAAACGTTGCCACGATTGAGAGCATCCCACAGGAGCTCATGCTGTTCTTCATTTTTAAGGTCAAGCGGGAGAACAGGACACCGAGTGGCACCAGTGACACGGGAGGCGATGCCAAGGCACTGTCCAACTCCTTTACGTTTAACTGCAGCGGCCAGGTGACCCGCACCACAGAAGATCTGAAGGAACAGCATCGACTGAAGGCTATGACCCTGAAGTCTATGTTCTGCACCAGCAGGTAGGCACTTGCTGCTGATTGGCGGCGCCACAACAGGTGGAGTATCAGTTGAGCAGACAGCATCCAGATTGGGAGCAAAACCCTGCTCCCGTAAAGTTGACAGATCATCTGGGCTCAACATGCTGGCATTGCGCACCGAAAAGGCAACAAGGACGACACGATCACCCTGCCAAGCAGCAGTGGCATGTCGAAGGCGATAAGCATCGAAAATGGCATGCGTGTTAGCCACCTCCAGCGCAACAGCGGGAAGCTTGCCCGAAGAGGTTTCAATCACACGTGGGCCTCCAGAGCTTTCAACTAAGACTTGCCCATCTTGAAAATTGCTCAGGCCCGCAACAAGATTTGGCATGGGAGCGTTGTTTGCATCAACGTGCGGACTCGTCTTGACATTGAAGAAAATGTTGATTGTGGAAAAATGAAAATCAGGAGAGATTGCCTTCACAAAACTAGCTAGCACAGAGCACGCCAAGGGAAAACGTTTGGTATTGGCCCGGAGGCCCAGCAAGGGTCCCTGACAATACATGCCACAAGCGAAAGCGCAACCCGTACCCTCACCACGAGAGGGTTTATCCTTCGGAAGGAGGTTGAACAGGTGCAGCACCTCACTGCGGGCGGGCGCCCGTGCTAGCTTCAGAATCTGACCAGCATACACCTCGGCAGGGTGAATGGTCTCAGCCGGAGGTGACGAAGCCGGTTCAAGAGGCAAAACTGAATCCATGAACTTGCAAGTCAATCGCTTGGCACAGTGGTTATGACTAATTAGGGCATCCTGCTGGTTCGAATGCAGGGCACCGGCGGGTAAGGGATTAGGGTCGCATGCAGAGTCAAGTGAAGCTTCCAAAGCCTCCCCAGTCTGACAGACCTTCACACGCTTGGCTGCACTTGGTGTCGGCGCAGCGGGCGGATCCACAACAGGTTGACCTGAAAAATCCGCCTCAGGTAATGGCAACCGTCACTCTTTGCATTCTTGCAGTGAATGATTTTTGCCACAGCGCATACAAGCATGGATTCCACGACGGCAGGATTTGCCAGCCTTTGCGAACTTGCAGCCTTTCTTGCAATTGAAGGGCCAGCAGAACTTTTCACCTGCCTCGGTTGCCATCCGCAATCCAGCAATGTTCTTAAGCTCGTCCGGAAGCTCTGCTTTCTGGACCTTGTTGCCAGAATCTTGCTTGTTGGGACTGTTAGGCTTTCTCTTCTTATCCGGATCACCATGTGGAAGCTTTGGTGGCTTATCCGGCTTATCGGGCTTGACCTCAGAGCTCTTGAGGGGTAAGAGATGGAACAACACATGAGGGTCGCTCGTCAACTTCCCTAGGGCATCATCGAGGGGCAAATTGCCCGACGAATCTCTCCGAAGTGACTTCACCTGCTCCGACATACGAACCCAACCAGCTCTGTCGGTTCGGAGTACTTGTTCAATCGATGGGCGTGACCAGCCCGGCGGGGCCTGCTGCTGCATCCTGTCTAAAAGAAAGGAGTGCCAGGCATGCATCGCCTCGTAAGTGCATGCCCCCATGAGATCGGAAGCAAGGGCCCGTCGCTGTAGGGCTTGCGACAGTGCCAATGGATCTTGTATCGCGCACTTGTGTTTGTCTGCCCTGTCACGCACAGAAATGCGGTTGTGATCCAAAATGAGCTCTTTGCCAGGGCGCTCACGCGCCACCTCAGCTGCTCTCGTGTCGAACCGGTGCGGTTCCAAGTACATAGGGCTATCCTTCTCGATCATCGCCCCCACATAGTCGTAAGAAGCATACGAGCACTCGAGCTGCCCAACCAAGGTAAGACCCTTCATTTTGGCCTTCTGCTGGAGTATCCGAGTGGTCCTCTCAGCTGGTGCCAATTCGATCCTCTTTTCATTTCCTTCAACCGAAGCTTTGACGTGAGCCAAGCAAAGCGTCTGACATTCAAACATCAAGTGTCTGATTGCTGCCACAACTCCAACACTCACCGACTCAGGATCCAGCGGTCGGAGAAGGGACCTCAGTTGTTCCTCAGAAGGCTGAACACCTGGAGCACTGGTCGAGAAAGCCAGGAGCGAGATCGTCTTGATCCCCGCAGTCTTCAGCCGACCCAGCTCCTCATCCGGTAGCCCACACTCACGAGCTCGCTCATCGAACGCAGCCTCACTCTTCAGAAGGGTCGCCATTGCCAGAATCTGCAGAAGTCTACCTCACCAAACTAAGCATGCACCAAGCTCTGCAGTTGCAATGACACCTGACCATGCAAAATTGAGATACACTGATGGAGCAGCGATCCAAAAGCATCGAGGGAGAACATGCAGCACATTGCGATATGCCGCAAGTTGCATCCAACCTCTCTCTAGCCAGTCGCACATCACGCAGGGCTAAGAGCATCTTGCCCATGCAGCGATTTTTGCACTCCTGTAAGCTGAGGACGATCTCGTCTAGCCCAGGGGGCATGGCAACATGTTTGCGACGAGTGGCAGGTCAAGCCTCACGGTGAGCGCTCGGGCTGCCCGCACAGGAGTGCTGGTCACGCCCATGTTGCTCTGAAGGCTGCCACACTCGCCAGGTTTAGAAATAAGTGCTCCTGCCATGCCAGGAAATCATCCCAGGCGACAAAGAGACACCGATCAGTCCCTTCGCAGGGTTTCTAGGTCACGCCTTGGTTTCAATGCATCGCCGAGCTGCCCGTGCCCAAGGGCACTGGTCACGCTGTGGACACACCAAAGCTGCCATGATCAACTTTAGGACGACCCCTCCACCCGGCCCCTTTTGGTAGCCACTCCAAGGGCATGGTTAAGGGCCCCCAAATCACGCAGTGATTTACCTCTGTAACACTGCTTGCACTCAAGAGAGGCAATGCTCACACTTCCACAAACCGGTTTAATTATCGCCTGATTCCACTCGCGGCCACACACAAAGCGGCCCGATGAGGCTCCGGCGGGAAGCAAATGCACAGTCCTGGTAGTTTTATGCCTGTACATGAGGCACTCATTGAGCTTCTTATGCTCGAGTTCGTCAGCTCTCTCTCCTGAAGCTTGAACCCTCTCATCGACAGACTCAGAGGACGACGATTCGCTGCTGGAAGAGCTCTCACTACCTCCAGGCTCGACGTCGCAACCCTCAGCACCTGTCTCCAAGTCCGGAACATCCTCCGGCTGGTGCGATTGATCCTCTGCTGCTGCCTCGGCATACCAGTCCCGCTCTCCCAACCACTCAGCATCGGCCTCACTTCCAAGATCTGGACCAGACTGATCTGGGAAACCAGGCAACGGAAAGGGAGTGAAGGAATCATCAAGCTGAGGAGGCGGGGAAGGCGGGAATGCAAACGTCGGCTCAGGGTCTCCCTCAGCAGGAGAGGGGATTGCACTTGCCAAGTCTCCTACACCTGACATAAAACCCTCCAACTGAACATCTGGGACAACAGGCTCCTCAGGCGCAAAACGCCCGGACCTCGTGGAATCAGGAAGGAACACTCCTCGGCGCACATCGCCTATGAGGGCCTCGAACTTTCTGACCGGAGCCGCCTGCGTGTCCCGTGCATAGGTCAGGGCACTGCTACGTCCTACCAACACATGGTGACCAAGGAGAGTCTGCGTGTCAAAGTCTGTGCCGGCTTTGCCCATCCATGAAAGTGGCGTGGCCTTTGCAGAATGCCCTGTAATCCTATCCCCACTGTATGCCGGCACCGTCGACAAGAGATCCTGCACCCAAGCGGCAAAGCGATCTGTGTCAGCTGGTACGTTGGAGAAGGTTCCATGGGCATCTGGCATATACAGTAAAGGCTCCCCTGATGCAATGCTGGTGAGGTCACGGCCCAGCTCCTTCGCAACCGAGATGAAGTCCTTGCCCCAGCACCTTGGGCCGATGCCTTTGGCAGGCACCACGATGTGCATGCGCATGCCCTTGCTGTTGCTAGTGCTTCGGCACTTGTGCGAAAGAGACAGGGCCTCGAGGTAGCCACAACCACTATCACTATCCGCAAGAAGATCGGTTAAGAAGCAGTCAAGAACCTTCAGATCCCCTAGCCTAGCCCGGCCATACAATGCAAAGAGAAAGGCTCCAGCACAAAACCGATCCATGAGTGGGCGGCACTCGTCCGCAAGCAGAGCTTCCAAGGCAAGAACTTCAGCGACAAGCAAGGCTCTCGCCTGCTTCTTTGCAGGCCGATCCAAGCGGGCCTTCCTAAGGATCCCCTGCACAATTGGATTGCGACAAGCAGCAGGCTCCATGTCGACCCCAAGCACATGATGCAAGAACGCGAAGCACTCGACTGCACCAGTGAGCACTGAATGCTTGCAGTTTGAAGCAACGAGGTGCCTGAGGAATTCCTCAGCAATCTGCCCATCAATAGGAAAGGCCTTTATCGACTCTGAGTTGGCCCATGAAACTAGTTTGGCAGCCTGGCCAAACCTTTTCTGCAATGTGCGAGGCGCCTTGCCTCCGAGTGCCAGCCTAACCTTGGTGTGCCGCACTTCCAAAGAGGCTCCACGGAAGCTGCGCCCTAAAATCGAAGCTTCATAAGAATGAGCAAGGATCAGCTCAAACCTCTGGACGTGAAGCTCGAAAATGTCTTCATCACAAAGCCTGACTTTCCTAGCCATCGCTGGGACAGCATGCTTCAAGAAAACCACTTCCGAAGACGAACTGCGAAATCTTGCAATGCTGGATCTGGTCGCCTCCTCACTGGAAGGAAGCACAGATGCCTCTTCCATGGTGAGCCTGACATCTGAAGGCCTGGCGACAAGCGGGACTAGCCGAGTCGTCGCGTCGTCAAAAATCTGAGAGAAAACTCCTTGCTCCCAGGGCAGGACCAGAGCCGTCACTGTAGAGTTCTCCAACCCGGCATCGAAAACTGCTGCGGCCAATGCACTGTTGGACATGTTGCCGCGCAGAGTCGCAGAATCTGAAGCACAAGAATGAACCCCACAATCAAGAGACCCTTGTAGTGATGCTGAAGCTGGATTTCGAAATCTCTCAGGAGACTGGCTTGGCTTTCAAGACCCTCTTCAAGACCGTCCTCAACAGCCTCAAGTCTGCTGTTGAAGTTGAAGATTGTGCGGGCCACTTCGCCCCTCGCCTCCTCAATGTTTCCTTCAGCACGCACAAGCCTGTTGCCGAAGCTAAGAAGCAAAGAGTGCAATCCAGACAGGCGAATGAAAGCACTATCCAAGCGACCCCGAGCTTCGTGCAACCAAAGCCGATAAACTGCGAGCAGTCTTTGCACTCTGCCTACCAGAAGCAGAATAGCAAGAACAATGTCCTGCATGCACAGACTACCACGCCCCCCGCTACCACAAAAACTGAGCCTTTGCCCAGCTACGGGGTTTCCCACCTCCCTCCCTGGAGCCGTAATGTTGCACGGGCAAAGGAAGATTCCACATCGTTCCAAAGACTGGAAAACGATTAAGGGAAAACTTCGGGCTCTTGAAAGTCAAACTTTCAAAAATTCGGAATCAGGAAAATAAAACTATATCACCTTCGGTGAGATTCGTCATAAATGATACATGAAGATGCTTGTGTAAAACACTTGCTGCTATTGCCTGTTGATGCTGTATTCGAGGGAGCAAGCGCAGGACAATCACTGCAATGAAATCATGCCAAGATCATGTGAAAATCATGCACCACTGCAATGAAATCATGCCAAGATCATGTGAAAATCATGCACCACTGCAACGAAATCATGCCAATACGCCAAACCAGAGTTCACATTTCCGCGGGCTTCCTGGGTAGGTCCCACAGTTTTGGCCCCATTTTGGATAGAAACAATACACCAAACAAGAGTTCACATTTCCGCGGGCTTCCTGGGTAGGTCCCACAGTTTTGGCCATTTTGGATAGAAACAATACACCAAACAAGAGTTCACATTTCCGCGGGCTTCCTGGGTAGGTCCCACAGTTTTGGCCATTTTGGACAGAAACAATACGCCAAACCAGAGTTCACATTTCCGCGGGCTTCCTGGGTAGGTCCCACAGTTTTGGCCCCATTTTGGACAGAAACAATACGCCAAACCAGAGTTCACATTTCCGCGGGCTTCCTGGGTAGGTCCCACAGTTTTGGCCCCATTTTGGACAGAAACAATACGTGTTAAAGAACAGGGTTCACTACGGGTTCAGACACAGCTCCACTTAACACGCACTTTTCCTTCCCAAGCGGCCCGGAACCTCAAGGCGTCCGTGCTCACGCAGCTCGGGAATCCCGAGCCGAACGACATCATCCTGGAGCTGTCCGACGAGACCTACTACCTGGACGCGACGAGGGAGTGGACCTTCAGCCAGCAGGCCATGCAGGTCGTGGACGACCAGGTGGTGGTGGACACCGTCCTGGATCAGCCCCTCGGGGCCCTGCGGGACGTCTCCTACCAGCTGTTTTGCGGCGACGAGATCCTCGAGTCCGCCTTCGAACAACGGCCGGACAAGCTCTGCGTCGCCCGGCAGCTCGCGGAGCTGATGCGGCTGCCGCTTCAGGAGGTGCTCTCGGACTTCGACGCAATCACCGGTATCGGGAGCAAGTGGCGGGAGCAAGGCATCACGCCCCGAGAGATCCGATCGTTCTGCGTCTGGCGCTCGGCCCCGATGTTCTACGTGGACTGCCAGGGCCGCCTGCTGGACAAGTACGAGCCTTCCGTGAAGGAGCAGCGGGCCGTGGCCTTCACGAGCTGGAACGGCCACGCCTTCTTCTACAAATCCGCCCGCACCGTCGCGAGGTGCGAGCCGATCGGGGACCGGGCGCAGGCCAAATACCGGGGCGAGAGGAAGCCAGGCGAAACGCCGGAGTTCAAGGACTGGCGGGAGTGGGAGGGCAGCCACTTCTACGCCGAGGACCTGGAGCAGGTCCGGAGGGAGCTCCTGGCCGAGGGGCACTGCCCCAAGGTGGTCATGCGGAGCATGAGCGAGTGGCGGTGCCTGCGGCTCGCGTGCGGGGTGGCGGGGACTGCGTCATCTGCGCCTTCCACGAGGACCTGGAGGTGCTGCAGGCCTGGATGGGCCGGCTGGGGCTCCCCTATCGCGGGCAGCGCCTCGCGGGCGCGGCGAGCGAGGTCTTCCTGCACCTTCTCAAGGCTCGCCGGGATCCGCCCGGCTCTCGGCAGGCCCTGCTCGCGGAGCAGGACTATCAGTGCAAGCTCTGCGCGGCGCCCATCACCGCGGCGACGTGCGAGCTGGACCACATCGTCCCCGTGCACCAGTCCTTCTCCGCGCAGGCCCAGAACTTGCAGGCCTTGTGTCTCGAGTGCCACCGGAACAAAACGGCCCTGGAGCACTCGCACGCCACGACGCTGGAGTCCCGCTTCAGCCGGCGGGCTTACGAGGCCTACGTGGAATCGCCCCGGCTGCCCCCGCTGGTCTTCAAGCTCAACAGCCACAAGCCGGACCGCATCTGCCACGGAATAGACGTGGTCCGGTGCCGCAAGAACGCCCTGGCCCACGCCAGGTTCCCGGCACCCATCTTCTGCCCCAAGGACAACATGGAGCAAGCCCGCGAGGGGCACCTGGCCGACCTGACCTACGTCAAGCTCCCGGATGACGGGCGTTGGGCAACCTTCCCGCGGCTCCCCTATATGTGGGCGAAGGCTGGTACGCCAAGCCCGCGGTGGCCTACATGCTCGAAAGGGGCATCGCCACCTGGAACGACCTGGCGTGGAGCCTGGACGCCACGGCGCACGTGGACCAGGAGTCCGTGACCCAGGCCCTGCAGCAGATGGAGGCGGCCTGGCCGGAGGGAGAGGAGCACTACGCGAAGCTGTCGGTGAACGCTCTGATCGGGCTCTGGGCGCGCAACATGGACCTCATCTACACCATGCGCACCAGCAACCACCAGTTCGACGGCTCCGGCTGCCAGCACCGGGAGCTGTTCCTGGACGCCGCGGGCGGGATGCACTGGGACCACATCTACGTGACCCAGCTGCTGTCCAACCGGAGCTGCCGGCCCGTGCACGACTTCGTGATGGCCTCGGAGTACGTCGCGGTCTGCCGCATCCGGGACGCGCTCGCAACCGTGCCGTCGAGGTACCTGAAGGCCGTGAAGACGGACTGCGTCGTCTTCCAGGACCTGCCCAAAAAGTTCCAGGGCCTGGTGGACGGCCTGGTCCGCCAAAAACACCCCGACGGCACGCCCGTGTACCCGTGCGAGGAGGTCAAGGGCCTCGAGGGCCAGTACCGGAACCCCCGAATCGAGGCCAAGTGTCCTTATTGCAGCACGGCGAACTGGAGGGTCGCGGGGGACCCCGTGCTCCACTGCCTCGAAGGCGAAGGCCTTCTGCTGACGGGCTTCCCGGGCACGGGGAAAACCTACCTGGCGCGCCAGATCGTGACCGCCCTCCGGGAAGAAGGGTACAAGGTCAAGATCATCACGAAGACCCACTCCTCCGTGCAGAACTTCGGCATGCAGGCGGAGACGGCCGACCACTGGGTGCGGAGCACCGTCCGGAACGGGTACTGCAACATCGACTGGCTGGTGGCGGAAGAGATCACGCAGCTGGACACGGGGCTGTGGAACGACATCGCCTGCGTCTCCATGAGCCGGAAAATCAAGTTCCTGCTGCTCGGCGACTTCCGCCAGTTCCCCGCCATCATGGACAACTTCGCGGGCGCCCCGGTGCTGCGGGAGCTCAAGCACTGCCATCACGGAGAACATGAGGAGCGACCCGGGCATTTTTGGCTTCCTGACCTGGCTCCGCGTCGACGAGCCCCGGGAGCAGTCCCTGGCCGAGGCAATTGAGGCGGCCCGGGAACGGTTCCCGCGGCAAGGCGAGGCGGACGTCAGCCTGGTCATCTCCCACGCCCGCCGCATCCGAATCAACGCCCGCGACAACCGCCGCCTGGCCCCTCCGGAAGCTGTCACGATCGAGTTCACCGGCACTGGCCCGGCGACCACCAACATGCCGCAGACCATGCGGGTCTGGCCCGGCCTGAAGCTCATCGGGGCCGGCGGCCGCGTCGCCAAGGGCATCTACGTGCACGTGACCGAAGTGGGGCCCGAAAAAATCGTGTTGGACGGCGGCGAATCCTTCACCCACGCCGCCCTCCTGAAGCACACCCGGCTGTGCCACGCCATCACCTACGCCTCCTGCCAGGGCCTGACGCTCGAGGGGCGGGTCTTCCTGTGCGACACCGAGAGCCCGCACTTCACTCTCAGGCTCTACGTCGGCACTAGCCGGGCCACGAGCAGCGAGCTCCTGAGCGTGCTCTAGAAGGGGCAAACGGGACCGGCGGCCTCGTAGGCTTTGAGCTGCAGATCGGTCACCTCGAGCAGTAGGCCGCACTGGTTGGACATCACCCATACTTGGCGCAGCTCGCACCGCACCCTGCACTCCCTGCCGGCGAGGTCGCCGGGCTCCGCCAGCTCCTCCTGGTTGGGCCCCCAGATGCGGACTCGCCCCCAGTCCATCTTCAGCTTGAGGTAGGAGCCGCCCCGCGGGCTCGTCTTCAGGCACGATTGGAAGCGGTCCTTCACGTCCGTCCCGGTCAGAAACTTGCCGAAGACCTTCGGCTCAGAAAGCGACAGCGCCGTCAGGGCCCTGACGAGGTGCTGCTCGATCTCCTGGAGCTGCGCCTTGGAGGCCTCGTCGGGCTCCAGGCACAGACCCACGCGCCTGGCACTCGGATCGTTGAAGGCGGCCGGGTGCCAGATGATTTTGTGCCACTCCGCCGACTGCCACACCGGCGGACCGCCGTTCCGGCGCAGGGGGACGTACTTGCCGCCCTTCGCGTTGATCGTCAGATCGCCGAGCTGAATTGCCGATTCGCAGGTGGCTTGCGTTTGCGGCTCCATGCTGCTCCTTTATACCTGTAACATAAAACTAGAAGACAATTGGCCCGAAAGCATCATCAGCGAAGAGTGTTACGCTACGTCATAGAATCCAGTGTATAGGGTCATAGAGTCACCGAGTCAAAAGCACGGAGTCACAGAGTCGGAGTGTCACATACAGTCAAGAGTCGTACAAGTCATAGTTCATAGAGTCATCGAGAAATAGAGTCGAGTACATGTCAAGCACAAGTCATAGTTCAAAGAGTCATAGAGTCATATAGAGTCATAGAGTCACAGTGAGACAGAATCATAGAGTCATAGTGTTATAGAGTCATAGCGTCAGAGTGAGAAAGAGTCATAGAGTCATGGAGTCATCTATGTACCACGCACTTGACTTGATGTAGTTCACTCTATGAACACTAATGTTCAGGTTTAGCGGGTTTAGAGTATAGTCCAACATGACGCAGAAGTCTTCCTTTCCTAGCTCCGGAACCTCACTATATAGACATCCCTGATTACTGTGGTTTCAACGTGACTCTATGACTCTATGCATGGTCACTTTATGTCGCAGCAGTAGTAGTAGTAGTAGTAGTAGTAGTAGTAGTAGTAGTAGTACTAGCAGTACCAGTACTAGTAGTAGTGATAGTAGTGGTAGTCGTAGTA